GTCATTTCTTAACTGATAATTTAAAAGAGAATAGGGTGGGAAAATCGAAACAATTACTGAAGCGGTACGCAGAGGGAGGTCATAGAAATTTTTTGTTTACGGATGAGAAATTTTTTGAAAGAAACAATTGAGCAACATTTTAACAAACAAAATGACCGTATTTATGCTCAAAGCTCTAAGGAAGCTTCCCAATAAGTCGACAGAGTGCAACGTGGGCACTATCCGACTTCAGTGATGGTTTGGTGGGGTATTAGCTATGAAAGAGTGACTGAGCCATACTTTTGTGAAAAATGTATCAAAACATCGGCACAAGTGTATCAAGATACCATTTTTGAGAAGGTAGTGAAGCCCCTTAACAACACCATGTTCAATAATCAAGAATGGTCCTTCCAGCAAGACTCGGCGCCAGGTCATAAAGCTCGGTCTACGCAGTCTTGGTTGTAAACGAACGTTTCGGACTTCATCAGAGCTGAAGACTGGCCGTCGTCTAGTTCCGATCTTAATCCGCTGGATTATGATTTGTGGTCAGTTTTAGAGAGCATGGCTTGCTCTAAACGCCATGATAATTTGGAGTCCCTAAAACAATCCGTACGGTTGGCAGTGAAAAATTTTCCCATTGAAAGAGTGCGTGCTCCTATTGATAACTGGCCTCAACGTTTAAAGGACTGTATTGCAGCCAATGGAGACCACTTCGAATAAGCTTTTTATACTTTAAATTGTTTTATATTTATGTATTAAACTAACATACTGTAAAAGTAATAAATGTTATTTGCCATAGATTTTTTTTTGTTTTCCTTTGTAACAGTATTTATGGCCAGACTAAGTATATCTCGCATCCGGACACGACAAACGAAGCAAAGGCGTGCCACCTAGTGGATGCAACTACTCGTCAAACATCGGCTGTCTTCGGGTGGTGCGCTTCGGCAGAGTCGAGGTGTCATCGCTCGGATTCAATCGAAGCACTTAGCACATTCGTTGCCTGACTTAGGAAGAGTGAAGACGTCACAGAACTGTCATCGTTTCGTGCTGCGCAATATCTTTGCACGACTGCCCACTATGTCAAGAAATAATAAAGATATCGGCTCATTCTGCGACATAATATATGTACACACACTCGTTTAAGCAACCATTCCAATCGAATGCATTAAATATTGATGGTAGGACCTCTTGTGAGTCTGTACGGGTAGGTACCACCGCTCTGCCTATTTCTGCCGTGAAGCAGTAATGCGTTTCGGTTTGAAAGGTGGGGCAGCCGCTGTAACTATACTTAGAGTTTATATCTCAAGGTGGGTGGCGCATTTACGTTGTAGATGTATATGGGCTCCAGTAACCACTTAACACCAGGTGGCCTGTGAGCTCTTCCACCCATCTAAGCAATAAAAAAATTACATAAAATTACTTACTCTACTACTCATCACTTAAAAAAAGCTAATGTTGCGAGAGCTTCTTTCGTAGTTTACAAATTTATCACAGTCATCACAGTGTATCGCCCTGAAAATGATGCCTACGAAGAAATCGTGACCGAACAAAGCCAATGTATTAAATCAATAAAAGCAGCACTATATAAGGTACAACAGTAATTCATTTACAATGGAGTCAGAAACCGACAGACCTTGGTCCACATTCACACAATCATTCGTAATTAGTGATTTATTATGCTGTTTACTTGTCTGAGATATGTACTAGTTTTTATATGATCTTTTTTATTGCTTTACGGTTGACCAAGCTCACGGTTCACCTGGTGTTAAGTGGTTATAGTTTACAGGTCCGTGGACATCACAACGTGAGCACCACCATGCTATTTAAGACCCGACATCTAAGTCTCATTTTTATAGTACCTATAACGGTTGTTTAAATGATTTGAAGACGGAGCGCATCCGGACTGGTTCGTGGCAAAAATGGGCCGGGTGGTATCTACACGTGCGGACTCACAAGATACTCACAAGATCAGCACTTTTTTTTATCAGTTTTATTTATTACTAGCTGACCCGGCAGACTTCGTAGTACCTTAATCGATAAATAAAAGACCTAAGCTTTTGTTTAAAATAAACTTAAAACAAACACAAGGAATCCGTCCGACGGGGGGGGACATCAAAGGAAAAACAAAATTGTTATTTTTATTTAATTCCGAGCATTTCATATTTATCCACCTTTTAAGCCTTCTCTGGACTTCCACGAATAATTCAAGATCAAGATTAGCCAAATCAGTCCAGCCTTTCTCGAGTTTTAGTGAGACTAACGAACAGCAATTCATTTTTATATATTAGTAAAGTAGTAGTAAAGAAAATATATCGAAGATATGGTTTTGACTGGGTTTATTACAAACATATCAAAGGTGTTAAACAATAAATCGCATTCCGAAAAAATCTGATTAGTGCGAGCAATACTTGCACCCTGTGGGTTTTTGCAAATTCATTTTCATATTAAGCCCTATGAATGGGCATTAGGTTTAGAAGTCGTCGTGACTTAAAGCATAAGACACACAGAGTACTCCTATCAAATAATACGACTATGCCGATGTCGTAGGAACCATTTAATTCTTATTTAAGAAATCGAACGAACGAAATACTTTTATTAAATTGCATTAGTTTTTGTTTTTTCCTACCTAATTGATTGATAGCCTTTAGAGGCTATGCCGGCGTAATCGAGCGAGTAGGTAAGCTCACGGGGCTCTTACCTGAGGATATTGTTAACACTAGCTCTAGCAAGAGCAGTGCTTCGCAGAATCTACCTCCGGGTCGGAAACGCGACCTACTGAGAAGATCCTGCGAGAAAGACAGTGGGGTGTGTCTATGGGTTAACCGCATCGGTCGTGTTATAAATTAAAAACGCATTACCATGTAACATTTCTGAAATCGCGTAATTACTGCTTATTTCTGCCTAAGGGTCTAAAGGGCCGGACAGCCTCTATGCCATAAAATCAACACTTCGACCTCATAATTAAAACTATTTTACGTTTTAATCTTGCGTTTATCATTTCCTACATTACGTAAACATATTACTTGCGTAGATTTAATGTGTTTTAATTATGTAATTATTGAATAATTAATGAAATATAATAATTTAATGTCCGCCCCGACATTGTTCTCGTTGGAGAGTAAGGGCCTGAGGTACAGAGGAGAGAGAAAGGTTGGTAAACGTGGGTTTGAAGATCAGTAGAACAAAAACTGAGCACATGTTTTGTGATTTAGGTGTTTCTGCAGACTTCACGCCAATCGCCTTAGATGGCGTATCTTCTTCGTAACTTCAATTGTAAAAAAAGCGTGGTATGGACATGTGATGCGTAGAGAGAAGATGCATGTGACTAGGAGATATATGGAAATGGTAGTGCAAGGTAGAAGGGGAAGTGGTTGACCGAAGAAGATATGGATGGAGTGTGTGAATGACGATATGAGAGAGAGAGAGAGAGAGGAGTGAGTGTTGATATGACGGCTGATAGAAGAGAATGGAAGAGAAAAATTAGCTGTGCCGACCTCACCTAGTGGGACAAGGTGGAGAAAAAGAATGTAAAGTAGGTAGATTTAAATTTTTGTCTAGAATTCGTAAAACGAGGCAAATATTTCGTCTTTATACCTGAAGATGAACAGGAGATTTCACATTGTGTAGTAATCATGGAGAAGAAGTTTCGAATTTACAAGGTGTCCGTGATGCTCATGTTCAGAATTGGAATGCAGCGGAATGTAGTTGTGGGGTAAATTATAAATCTCGAAAATTCACTTATAACATAGTAGTAGAAATAGTAAGCTGTAAAGTCTATATCCTGCATCATGGTTATTCAGAAATGCCATATTCACAAAACTGAATAAAACTTCCTCACATTGATATTATACTTAAAGTTTAAAAAAAAAAATGCAAAATAAAACTAACAAAAGTAAAAAATAGTTATACATAAGAGTATAATTAAATAGCCTTTAAGGCAGAACAGTTTAGTCTGAATGGCAATCTCTTAAACTTATTTTAAGTGATGACAATGATTAGGTCACACAAGCAACTGTATATTGCTAGAGTTAAAAGTATATGTAGTAGAAAGTATTGGAAATCATTGAAATTAAAACATTACAACATTTTTATCACTTTATTTCCGTAATGATATTTTTTAGTCTTTGAGAATATTTTAAATTGAAAAAACAACATAGGAATCTTATGACAGAATGCTTCTAGCTTTTCCCTTTAACTGGATTGTCATCTTGAGCCGGCCTGTCAACCAAGGAGACACTGCTCTAATTTATTTTGTGTATCTATCTAGTATTTATATCTATCTATCTAGTACCTAAATACAGGATTGTCAGAAAATACCTTACCAACATAATTGAAACTTTAGGTTAAAAAAAATATTTAGTTAACAACAATTTTAAAGCTTAGAACAATAAAATAAATAAGACATAATCTATTTTAATTCTTTTTTTAATGATTGAAGTATTACTGGTGGCCCGGAGGACTTTCCAGTTTCACCAGGACAGGGATATTTTAAATGAAAAAAATGGTGAAGAAGCAAATACTTATTTACACCAATGTAAAATTATTTTTAAACTATTTAAAATAAGATATTCCTAGGATAACACTGTGATCAAATAAAAATGTAACTTTTTAAAGGAGTTTAAGGAAGGATTTTAATCAGTAAAATTTTATTTCTTTCGTTTTTTTTTTTAATTTAACCTGGAATCGATATGTAGTAATTTTGTATTGTAAGTAATTGTAAGAAAATCTATTAAAACATGGTTTATTTCAAACATAAATTTGATTGTCTCGATGTTTTGTCTTACGATTATTGCCTGGCTACCATAATGTTCAAATACTAATCGTCATCGAAGTAGGCTTGTTTCTGACATTTCGGGGTATGAGTGCTCTAATTTGTTCTTGTTTGTTAAGTATGAATAAAGGATGAAAATTCCTAGTTACATGCCACTGGATATGTAACGTTTTATTTATGTCTCATTACATAAATAACTCATATTAGTATGTAGTTGAAAGGCTATTGGAAATAGCATTAAAAATCTTACCCTGATTTAAGAGTTCATTCCATGAGTTTAAAAATAATTAAAGATTTAAGGCATGTACATTTTTGCAAAATTAATTTGTGATTACACAGTACACAAGTCACAGTGACGAGCCAAGAACTACTCAAGAAAAAATACGGGACACGGGACAACATAAAAGTACAAACACAGATACAACACTACAAATTCTGGGCTTTAAAAATAAACTTTATACGAAACCCAGTAGCCCAGTAGACACCTACAATTTTTTAGGGATTTTATGACCTGCTCACTAAGACCTTTAGGTCAAGTCTTACTTTAATTTTAATGAAAACTTTTTTATATGAAAAATGATATTATGAAATGAAATGAAGCTGATTAATATGAAACATGACATGAAACGACATGAGATGAAATGATATATGGGATGAAATATAATCTCTGTAAAATGGTGGTCATTTACTGTGACTTTTTCAGTGGACTTTTTGGAGAATCCCGCGGAGTTACGTTCAGAGGCTTTGTTTCATTTTCCCACATTTGTGCACTTTCACAGATACTAAACAGTTAATAAACCACCGTTATTACACATTTAAGCCTGAAGAAACACTAAATAGACAAAATAAAAGAAATCCCACAACTTCACTTCTCGCGTTCCCGCCAAAAAATCCACCTACACCTACATACCTTTTTTTTTAAGAGATTTTATGACCTGGTAACTGAGACTTTTAAGTCATGTATTATTTTAATTTATATTCATATTTTTATGAAAAATGATATGATTATGGAGTGAAATGAAATAAAGATGATTAATTTGAAACATTAATCAACTGAGATGAAATTAAATGAAATGAAATGGGATGAAATATAATCTCAGTAAAATGGTGGTCATCTACTAAGATTTTTTCAGTGGACTTTTTGGAGGATCCCGGGAAGTTACGTCCAGCGTCTTTGTTTCATTTTCCCACATTTGTGCACTTTCACAGATATTAAAAAGTTAATAAACCACCATTATTACACATTTAAAACACTAAATAGATAAAATAAAACAAATCGCACAACTTCACTCCTCGCGTTCCCATCAAAAGGTCTTATAGATATAAACTAATATTCACCCATAAAATAAGATAATACAGTCAATACATAGGTACCTACTTCATTTCATAATATGTAGGGTAGGCTCACTGAATTGTATCCTGCTTATAAAGTATATATATACTAAGTTTATTCTTCCATATTAAATTAATTTCTACTAAATGCCTCTCAAACTTCGATTGTTGATCGAAGTTCTCAAAAATAAGAATCTAAATTAAAATAAGACATGACTTGAAGGTCTTAGTTACCAGGTCATAAAATCCCTTAAAAATATCTATGCACACATACACACACACAGTACCGTAAAATGGGGCGATTAGGGACAAATTCCAACTTTATGAGCAATTTTAAGGTAGTTGTTGATGTATATAATGCTATATCAGGATCAAAATGATTGAGTCTTGGGGGCATCTTTGTTGTCTAATTTAAAATTATGCAAGAAGCATTCCAGTTTAAGCAAAAAATGCAAAAATAGGTGTAATCCCTATTTACCTGAAAATGCGGTTAATTGGGACGAAATGAGAAATTTGCTAGGGTTGGCACTAATTTTATTTTTATATATAGTTTTAATTAATTTATTTATTTAGTTGCACCATCAAAGTGATCATCAATCAATCATTCAATCAGTGATCATCATCAAAAAAAATTGAAAAACTGACAAAAGTACATGGCAGACATCACCTCAATTATAGGTGCAATCGATAGTGCAGTAACAACAAAATATATAAGTATATGTACATATATATATATATATATATATATATATATATTTATACATATATAGTGGGCTTTCTTAGAAACGGTTTATATTTCTCCGTTCTTGGTAAGTACTTAGGGGCTGATATTTCTATCTGGGTTAAGAGATTAGGTGTGTCGGTTATTCCATGGATTAATCAGATGAATACCCCCACTCTGAACAAATATTAAATATTTTATTATGTATTNACCAAATTGTAATAAATGCTCACTAAATGAAGAACAAACTTTACATCATATTTTTTTCACATGTCCAGCTTTTAATATTCATCGCATCCTATTTATTGATAAACTGCAAGAGGTTTATAAGGATAGCATCCCGCCTTCTCTTCAAGAATTGCTTAAGTGCCCTGCAAGTTTTAGAGCAGTATATGAATACATTACCTCTACTTTCGGAGACTTATAATGGAGAACACAAATTTTGACTTTATAGTCAGATTATCCAAGAAACACGATTGCGACAACTCTCAACCGAAACAAATGGGAAAAAAAAAAAAAAACTGAATAGACACTTACACGGATTTGAAAAATATTTATAAATGAAGAATACTAAAGAATTGGCTTTTTTGCCTTGAAACATAAAATTATATATGAAAATATTAAACTTAAGAATTGGCTGTATGGCTTAGTTCCTTTGCCTTTCTCTTCGAGAAAAACACTACTACTACTTATACCCATAGATTATACACTTAATATATTCGAGCTTAAACCGTACCAGCGTTATTTATTAATTGTAGGTGCGTTAATTTTCTTTCCTGGAATAATAACCAAAGAAAGACGTTTAGTTCACAGATTAAAGTGAATTTCATTGTTGTAGTATTGTACCACTTAGTATTTTAAATTTAAAGTGTACCTTTTGATACATTGCTTGAACTCTTATTCATACACTAAAATTTATAAATATATTTTTAGCAAGGAATATATTTTAGCTATTATGGCTTGGCATGAGCATCTCATAAGTATACAATGTTGCTGTCGAACTTGTTTATCTGACATAGCAGAAAAAACATGTTATAATATTTTTTCTGAAACTGAAGAATCTAAAGCTATAAGGGATATTTTGCTATGCTGTACGTCAATAAAGGTATATTGGGTGCTTCTAATTATTCAATAGTATTCTTTGCACTGGTTTTGCTAAGAACACAAATGACCATTATGGTACTTCAGTTCAGAAATTAAATTAAGTATAAATTTGTATTAAAAGGGTTATGAATGCAAATATGTTTATTATGTATTTATGATTTGGAGTTTGATTTAAAGCAATAAAAAGCCTACAGAGATGTTTAACCTCGTCCAAAAATAGCAACTTTCATACTGTGTGATGTTTTTTTTTGTTCCATAACCATTTGATATCTAAATGTCTGTACCCAATTTAAAAAATAAAAAGGAGTTAAAAAGCTATCCAACTGTATATTTCTGCCCTGCCATCTAGAATAAGCAAATAAAAAAAAAACATTTTTGCTGTTTTAGTTTAAACAGGTTTTAAATTATTTTCAGCTAAAAGCAGATGATCCTTTGCCAAAAATGCTATGTGAATCATGTTATAATGATATCATGAATTTTAATGTTTTCAAGACATGCGTTGACAGAGTAGAAGAAAACTTTCAAAAATATCTTGAGACATATCAAATTGCTTTGGATAAGAAAACTGAACTCAAATATGATCAAGATGAAACAAATCAAAATTTATATGATGAAAAGTTTTTTGAAGAACATCGTAAGATACAGTCAAGTAATACATCTACAAATGTATACCAAGATAAAAATAATGAACATCAAGTTTTAATGGGGAAATCCAAAGAGAAAAAAGACACAGTGCAATTTATATGTGATTTTTGCAGTAAATCTTTTAAACATCGTTACAAACTGGTTGATCATATAATATCACACAGTGCAGCTTCGAATGATTCTGTAGACAATAATCAGAACGTGAGTTATAGCTGTGAAGAATGCGAAAAGATTTTCAAAACTTTAAATTCTTTGTGTGCACATAAAAAGAAGCATGTAAAGAAAGGTAGAATACTTGTGTGTTCTTTTTGCAAAAAGGTATTTAAAAAGTTAAGTCACTTGAAGAGGCATGAGCTCTCCCATAGGCCGAAATCTTACAAATGCACAGATTGCTCTCATACATTTGCTGATGAGAATAGATTTAAAGAACATGTTAACTTTCATATGGGAATTAAACCTCATGTGTGTTTGTTATGTAAGAAATCCTTTCGGAACATGACAGGGCTAAAGAGCCATCTAAAGATTCATTTTGAAGACCACATTTACTTGTGTCCGATTTGTGGAAAAAGATTCAGCTCGTCCGGGAATTTGAATCAGCATGTGAACAGACACACTAACAATCGGTCGTATCTGTGTGAAAATTGTCCTAAGAAATTTGTAAGTAAAAGTAAGTACTTAATAATATAAGTTATTCAAAATATTAATTAGGTTACTTTAACTGACTAAATTAAAACAAAAAACGTGATCTATACTAATATTATAAGGAGGAAAAATTTGTTTGTTTGTATTGAATAGGCTCCAAAACTACTGAACCGATTTGAAAAATTCTTTCACTGCTTGGAAACTACACTATTCCTGAGTGACATAGGCTTTAATATTTTTTGAAAATAATTAAGAATCCTTACTAAAACTCCAATAATGTAACCCAAGGTGTAAAAAATTTCCTAAAATATTATTTACAAGGCGTGCCCTGTGAAAACTATTAATGATAGAATAAAATTTGATAGAAAGAAAGTTTGTAGAACACATTATTATTTACAAAAAGTGTCGCGACAGCATATTGTGTCTAACTATTATAGTTATGCCGCAATAAATGTTCTTTTATTTAAAAAAATAAAACAACGTTGAAATTTTTGTTAAAGACCCGAGCGGAGCCGGAGCGGGCCGCTAGTTAAGAATAAAGAGAGTTCATACTGCCCTTTTTTTTTCCAGGCGACCTTAAAGTGCACATGAAAACACACACGGGCGAGTCTCAGCGTAGGTATGAGTGTCGGGAATGCAATGCTAAATTCACTAGCTGGAGTCGTCTCAGAACGCATAAGTATCAACATCTAGGAATAAAGCCTTACAAATGTAATGCCTGCACGAAAAGGTGAGATCTTAATAATTGCACAAGATTTACTATCAACTAATCGAGCAGCGGTTTAAAAACATCCAAGCCATTTAATCGTTTCACTAGCAGAGCATATAGTATATCAATAATGGAAGTAAGAAATAATGTGTTTCGGCTTGAAGGGTGGGGCAGCCATTGTACTGTTACAACTGAGACCTTATGCTGGCCACTCACATGCGCGCGAACATTTTTACATTGTACGAATGTTCGCTCGCATGTGAAGGGCTGTCAGACATTCATTCGCAAA